GCTTGAAAAAGTTAGGTGTAGTTAGCTCAGCTCATATAAAGTTAGGTGTAGTTAGCTCAGCTCATATAAAGCTAGGTGTAGTTAGCTCAGCTCGTGTAAAGTTAGGTGTAGTTAGCTCAGCTCATATAAAGCTAGGTGTAGTTAGCTCAGCTCATATAAAGCTAGGTGTAGTTAGCTCAGCTCGTGTAAAGTTAGGTGTAGTTAGCTCAGCTCATATAAAGTTAGCTGTAGTTAGCTCAGCTCATATAAAGTTAGCTGTAGTTAGCTCAGCTCATATAAAGTTAGCTGTAGTTGATAGACACAATGAAAGAGTCTTCCAGTCGTCTTGGTGTCTGAGGGTTGTTATGCTTCTGATGTGTGTCTAGAATAAAGTGCACATGCGTGTGTGTGCGTGCGAGCGAGGGCGGGCTGAGGTCATGGCGTGGGGGGGGGTCAGGCGAGGCCACGTAAGGAGCCAGGATCCCCCCACAGCAATGGGGAGGGAGACTAAACTACCGGCTCTGTCCATGCAAATACACCATGAGCGCACCACACCAGTGTGTGTGTGTGTGTGTGTGTGCGTGTGTGTGTGTGTGTGTGTGTGTGTGTGTGTGTGTGTTGAGGGGGTGAAGGGAGATTCACTTCCCCGCTGAGGCAGATGCGGAACATCTGGACAATCGTCCCAGTGAGAAACAGACGCTGTAAACATGTTCTACATGATTAACTAGATCAATAAGACGTGACTTATGATTGATGAACCAACGAGTCGCTTTGTGTAACAAATTGGTAAATGTGATTTGAAAGTTAAATGTACATATTTTACTCTCTGATTCAGATTAAGCTTATTTCATAATGTTAAAATGAATTGTTCACTATTGATCTTAATAGATTATTTTTCTTGGTCACAAAAAACGACATTTGTGTCATTTTCCTTTTTCTTTGGCATTTGTTGCTTTGCCTTTTGAGTAAAATGGATTTGGGCTTATTGTGCAGGAATGTGTGAGATGTACAGAAATAAAAGTTAGTTTGATGAGACTCTCCATGTGTGTGTGTGTGTGTGTGTGTGTGTGTGTGTGTGTGTGCGTTCGTCCATTGTGAGTCATGTTAGGTGGAATAAGATCGTGTCTCCCCTCAGGTGAAAAGGATGAGAGACACATAAACAGGAACAGTGGTGATTCAGCAAGGTGTGTGTGCGTGCGTGTGTGTGTGTGTGTGTGTGCGGCTTGTCGGGTGTGTGTCAAACGTGGGCGGACCCCACTGCACCGTTGACACACGGCTCTCCGGTGTGACCTCGGAGGTTGCCGCTGTCCCTGATTGGCTGCCAGCTGCCAGCTCATTAAGCGGCTCGCACAGGGACGCCGTGCCAGAGGACACACTCTCTATTTGTTTCACAACACACGGACACAGTCGCACACACTCTTCAGGGGGCACCGCAGGTATGGCACGCAGCCACGCGCACACACACACACAGACGCACACAGACGCAGCAGAGGGCGCGCGGGGCCTCGTGACCTGGCTGGACTTTGTCTCACCTCGGCCTCACACCGACGTGCCGCTGGCTGGAGGAGCCGCCTGCAGGGTCACGACCCGCCAAGGAGGAACACGGGGAGGACGAAAGGACGAGACAGAGAGGACACAGAAGTAGAGGACAATTGTTCAGTAAACCGGGTGTCTTACTGTCCGGCTGACTTCTCTGGATTCTGTCACCGATCACTGGTGAGTACGACGAGGTCACGACTCACAGAAGCGAAGGTCGGGGATACGCTGCTAAATGTGCTGGCATCGTTAGCGTTAAAGTCTTCACATTCATTACTCAAGAAGTACAGACACTCGGTTTTAAAACGACTCCTGTAGAAGTCAAAGTATCAACTCAAGTATAAAAGTACTGGTTTCAAAACTACTTGAAGTATAAAAGTAAAAGTCATGTAAGGGGGAAAATGTCCATTAAGGACAAACTCTTAATGTGTAACATGTCCGTCCGGTACAATATGATCAAAGGTTCCTTCAGATCACGTGACCTGCCGTCCCACTGATTGGACTGCAGTGTCTCCCCAGGTCTACTACGTCACGGTTATAACGGTGGAAACACCGAACCGCTTCGGCCGGTTATCAAAGCATCGGCCAAATGAGCCCAAATGATGCTAAATGTTTCTACTTCTCCTCCAACCAATGAAATTCACGCTGTCCGCATGGCGCCGTCCATCAGCACATCCATCCATCAGCACATGCATCCATCAGCACATGCATCCATCAGCACATGCATCCATCAGCACATGCATCCATCAGCACATCCATCCATCAGCACATGCATCCATCAGCACATGCATCCATCAGCACATGCATCCATCAGCACATGCATCCATCAGCACATCCATCCATCAGCACATCCATCCATCAGCACATTCATCCATCAGCACATGCATCCATCAGCACATCCATCCATCAGGACATCCATCCATCAGCACATTCATCCATCAGCACATTCATCCATCAGCACATCCATCCATCAGCACATTCATCCATCAGCACATCCATCCATCAGCACATCCATCCATCAGCACATCCATCCATCAGCACATCCATCCATCAGCACATCCATCCATCAGCACATTCATCCATCAGCACATCCATCCATCAGCACATTCATCCATCAGCACATCCATCCATCAGCACATCCATCCATCAGCACATTCATCCATCAGCACATCCATCCATCAGCACATCCATCCATCAGCACATTCATCCATCAGCACATCCATCCATCAGCACATCCATCCATCAGCACATCCATCCATCAGCACATCCATCCATCAGCACATCCATCCATCAGCACATCCATCCATCAGCACATTCATCCATCAGCACATCCATCCATCAGCACATCCATCCATCAGCACAGGGACGATGACAAGGAGGAATGAAAACAGGCCCTGATGTAATAGGAGCAACAGGGTTATCCTGATTCCTGCTGCTAATCGCTAACGTTAGCTTACATGTGATGCTAACTGGCGCTTACAGCTAGCCGGTCCTCGGAAGAGTAACTAGCCACATGGTCAAAGCTTTTTCCTGGAGAATCCACGAACACAACAACAAATAGTAGCACTTCAATGGTACTAACAAGGGCTCTTATCCACAGAGAATGTAAATCTAATTGTTTCATGTTCTTCTGGGTTTGTTTCCTGTAAGTCGCTTTGGATAAAAGCGTCAGATAAATGACGTGTGATGTAAATATGTGCATTGGTGTGTATGTGAAGAGGTCAGATCGGCTTTATTTACTCTTTTAGTAAAGTTAGAAGTGTAGAAATACACAATACATAATAATAGTGAACTGTAGTGGTCCCTTTGTCACCGAGTCACATCACAGCCTCCGGCACGACTTGTGATGCTGTAAAAATAGTTCAAACAGCACAATGACAGCCTTGTAAACTCTCATCCAACGTGATCTCAAGGCTTTAAAAAGACACTTTTCAGGTCTTTTCCTCATTCTGAAGGTTTTCTTCATTTATAAACACTCCCAATTGCAAACAAGTCAAAAACATTTAAGCAACCAGATTAGCTGGGTATGTTTCATAAAAGTGAGTATTTTTACTGTACTAAAGCGAAGTGGACGTCACTGGACAGTTGTCTCCTTGGGGAAAGTCCTGTTTGTCTCCGTTGGACCTTCTCGCCAGATCGAGTCTCCTCCTCTTAAATCACCTGCACTGTGGATCCAACTTTACACCAAAAGCAACAACGTGCAAAATGTCTACAGACAGCGACCGCTGGCTAAGTCCCGCCCCTCCAAGGCAGGCCGACCAATCATGGCTCTTTAAAATCACGCTAGGTGCTGAAGGTGTGCAGAATGTGCTTTAATCATTATCACTGTGTGAATTTGTGTGTTATTCATACCAGTCCGGTCCATAAATCTCACTACACATCACAGGTGGGATCTCTCAGCTGAAGCACCTCGAAGAACTCGATGAGTCCTCGTGCTTAAAGAGGAGAATCTGCTGGCTGAATTAGCTTAGCGGGGGGGTTTGAGGCCACGACATTTAGACGTTGGCTCTGTCTTTAATTATCTTTATCTTTTCTTTCATCTCCTCTTCCTCCCTCTCTGTCGTTCATCTTGTGCCCCGTCTCTCCTTCGCCGTGCGATACTTTCCCACAGCGTTTCTGTCAGTAAGTTACTTACTGACTTCTGCTCCGCGGTGCGTGACGGGAGTACAGGAAGTCCTGCTGACGAGGCAAAGGCCGGCTCAGGAGTCACACACACACACACACACACACACACACACAAAAGTTACTTTACTGACTAAGAGGTTTCAGATACCAAAGACTCTCTGATCTACGTTCCTCTAATTGAATTTCACCAAGACGCCTTGAAAATGACGTTTTTTGGTTTATTTCCATTTCGTTCCCAAACTGCGTTAACAAAGATGTCAAGCAGCACTTAAAAACATATCCTACATGCTTACTTGTTTTTCTATTTTCATTTTAAATGCAGAAGGAGGTTTTTTTTTTGTTCAAATGTTAAGTGCTTATTTCTTCCAACCACTTCAATTTGTAAAAAGTAGGTTCTGCTTTTATTTATACTTAAATTGGCTGCACTTTGAAACACATATTCCGTATGAAATGTGCAATTCAAACAAAGATTTATATTACTAAATATGAAAGACAAACATTTTTATTTGTTGAACATTTATTTGATTGTTTTAAAAAAAAATAACATTCATCACAGTAACAGTTCAACCAATAATTACCATCTGCAATAATAATTATACTTGAGACTCCTTTTTAAATAAGTTAAGCAATAAAGTTTTTGCCCCCTTCCAGAAACAAGATCATCTTCGTAAAGCTTTTCTACACACAGTGTTGACTACAACCCGACCTTTAAGACTTTAATGTGGACATTGGTAGCGTGACCTCGGCAGGCATTTGGTTGTTTTTGATCGGGTAAAAAACAAGCTTATAGATATGTTCCAGTACACAAAGCTAAGCTACAGTACATGAAGCTACATGTAGCAACAGTACACAAAGCTACATTACATGTAGCTACAGTATATGAAGCTACAGTACATGAAGCTACATGTCGGCCCTAGCGTCCGCGGGCCCCTCCCCCCTCGGCTGTAGCGTCCGCGGGCCCCTCCCCCCGTCGGCCCTAGCGTCCGCCCTAAAAAGTTTTCTTGAAACATGAAGCTACATATAGCTACAGTATATGAAGCTACATGTAGCTACAGTATATGAAGCTACATGAAGCTACAGTATATGAAGCTACATGTAGCTACAGTATATGGAGCTACATGAAGCTACAGTATATGAAGCTACATGTAGCTACAGTAATTGGAGCTACATGAAGCTACAGTATATGACGCTACATGTAGCTACAGTATATGAAGCTACATATAGCTACAGTATATGAAGCTACATGTAGCTACAGTATATGAAGCTACATGAAGCTGCAGTATATGAAGCTACATGTAGCTACAGTATATGAAGCTACATGTAGCTACAGTAATTGGAGCTACATGAAGCTACAGTATATGACGCTACATGTAGCTACAGTATATGAAGCTACATATAGCTACAGTATATGAAGCTACATGTAGCTACAGTATATGAAGCTACATGAAGCTGCAGTATATAACGCTACATGTAGCTACAGTAATTGGAGCTACATGAAGCTACAGTATATGACGCTACATGTAGCTACAGTATATGAAGCTACATGTAGCTACAGTAATTGGAGCTACATGAAGCTACAGTATATGAAGCTACATGTAGCTACAGTATATGAAGCTAAATGTAGCTACAGTATATGAAGCTACATGTAGCTACAGTATATGAAGCTACATATAGGTACAGTGCACTTAGCTACGCTACAGTACATGTGGCTACAGTACACACAGCTATGCTACAGTACACAAAGCTAAATGTAGCTACAGTACATGTAGGTTACTCCAGTGTTAATAACGTTTGATTCAAAGGATTACAGTAACGTCTTTAGGCTGTCGAGGCCTTCGGTTTCCAGTGATTGTCCCAGCGTATGAATCCAATGTGCCCCCCCCGATGACGACGTCCGAGGCCAGTCCTCCATTGGTGGACCCAAAGGATCCCAGCAGCCAGTTGATGGCTGTCGACTTGTGAGAGGACGCCCCCAGTCTGACGAGCCCCGCCGGTTCGCCGTTCAAATTTATGAAATCCAGCTTTTAGCATCGCAACAAAACGTCCTCCCGACGGGATTTCACTTTGGTCGTTTCCGTGACGACGAAAGCAGCGAAGTCGGACCGGCGACTCTCGGGTCCGTCCTCCACCCAACGGTCTCCTCCGCGTCGCTTTGACTCGGGTCGTCTCGCTTTAGCTTCACCTGTAGGAGGTCACAGGATATGCAAATCAGCTGATTTACTCTTAAATAAACTCCTTAATGTCTTCTGACTGCGTCCCATGTTCAGTATTCTCTCTGCCTCAGTGTTTTACTACAATGTGATAATAAATACATAATTACATATTTATTGACAAATACTGGACATACTTTCTTCATTTTAGTCTTTTAAAGTCAATTTTAAAGCAGTGGTAAAGATGTTGACCTTCAAATGCCAGAAAAAAAAATATAAATATATTAATAGATGTACGGTGTATATTTATATATATATATATATATATATATATATATATATATATATATATATATATATAAATCGATATATAGCTATATACATATCAGGCCTGACTTAATTCTCTCCACACCTCATCGCTCTCCTCTCACCTGCAGCTCTACATGATCACGGCCCTCATGGCGGCCTTGCTGATGCGCTTGCTGTGCTTCCTGCGCCGCCGAGGCGACGCTGGGCGGAACGGCGCCCGGCGGGCCGAGAGCGGGCCGGGGGCCGAGGTGGAGAGGCCTGAGGAGGGACCAGGAGAAGGAAAAGAGTTACCACAGACGTGACCTCCAGCAGCTGGGACCACAGCGGCAGGTGGGCGGAGCTCTTTCTGGCCGTCACCTGCTTGAAAGCCGGTCGGCTTCGTTCTCCGCTGAGGATGATGTGGACGAAAATGGGTCGGGTGATCCGGCTCCGTCTGAATCATCTGCAGAACTTTGTGTCTCCTCTCTTCCTCCGTTAAATGGCCGACCCCGCGGCTCTGTTCTGAGTCTTTGTCCGGCCCCCGATTGGGCGGGCTCGGCGTCCCCAGAGTCCCTGCTATTGGCCGAGCCGCTCTCCTCCCTCCCTTCGGTCTGTCTCGTGACCTCCGTCGTTCTCCTGCTGGTCACCGACGCCGCGGGAGAGGCGGGGCTCGCTTTAAGCTTCGGCGGCCGAGTCGGGGTGCCGGGCGGCGTGCCGGCGTCGGACTGCGGCGCGTCCAGCCAGCGCCGCCCCCCCGGCGCTTGATCCTCTGCCCCGCCGCGGTGGAGGCGTTGCTGCCCGCGCAGGTGCTCCGCGTGCACGCCACTCTCCTCCCGGCTCCCGGCGTACCCGCTCCCGTGCCCGACCTGGGGGGGCCCGCCTCCCATGACGCTGTGCTCCGCCCGGGCCTCGGAGGGCCCCAGGTGCGTCCAGTGCACCAGCTGGGTGTAGCCGCCCTGCTGCCACCGCCCGACCGCCGGGTCGCGCTCCTCGGGCCCGTAGGCCTGCTGGTTGTGCTTCAGGTCGTCGTGGCGATGGAGGTCAGCCTTGGAGTCGCGGGTCTTGGGCGGGGGGTCCGGGCGGACGGTCCGGGGGAGAGGCAGCGGAGGCTGCAGCGGCACAGGTGGGAGGGGGCGTGGGTGGGTCTGCATGGGGACGGAGGGGGAGGAAGGAGGTTGGCACCTGCAGCTGACGTGGTCCTCCACGGAGATGATGGCCTTCTCATATTGGACTTTCCTGTTGACGTACCGGATCTTTGTCACCTGAAGAAGAGAATATTATCTTTTGTAAAACATCCTATCGTAGCGATTAGCCTCTTAGCTTAAATTAGCACTAATCCCACATACCTGCAGGTATCGGGTGGAGGAGAGGGTGGGGACGCACTGCAGCACCCAAGTGTTGCAGCAGCCCGAGCAGCGCTGCACCTCCACGCAGGCCGGCCACAGCAGGAAGTTGGCGCTGGACCTCTCCACCTTCATCACCTCCGTCCGCACTTTACACGTCGCCTGCTGGGCCTGCTGCGCCTCCACTGTGGGCGGGGGGGGCGGATGGGGGGGAGAAAGGGGAGAAGGTGGTGGGTCAGTTTTTAAATGGCATCAGGAATTAGACTAGAAGACACAGGAAGGGACAGGAATAGAAGCGGGGCCCACCGAGGCTTCTGCCCAACCGCCTGTGGGTGTGGTTGGCGTGCGCGTCGTGCTCGTCTTCTTCCTCCTCTGGGGACAAAGACACAAACTCGTTAATTCATTTGAGGAACGGCGAGCAGGAACCCGCCAGGCCGTCTGCCCCCCCGACTTCTTCACCATTTTCTGCAGCGATCTGGCCGCTGTCAGAGAGATGCTAAATATAGCTCATGAGTTCTCTCACACGCGGCGTTACTTCATGCTGCCGCCCCTCGGTGCTAATTATAACCTGCTCAGCGTGTGTGTGTGTGTGTGTGTGTGTTTAATTGCCTCTCAGCCCTAATTAACGGCCCGGTGCCAGATACTCTCTAATGTATCCGTGCATTAATCTGTGTGTTACGGCTACTTCCTCTTCCACGGGCGACCCGTTGCATTGTGGGAAAGGCCTACTTAGGGACGGTTGTCCTCAGTGTGCAGGGTCCTGTGTCTGCCCGTCTGGTGAGGAGATCTTTGCTCGCGTTTCTCTCTCGGTCCAAGCGGAGCAGAATGTGCCGACCTCGGCTTGTCCGATGTCACGCGGTTATTCTCTCTGATTCAAAGGAAACGTTATGGGTACGAATGCTCCGGTTACCTGGTAACCAGGTGACACACATAAGTGTCAGGGGGGAATTAATGAAAATACATATTTCATATAAATGCTTGTGAGGATCGAGTTGATGGATGAACTCGTGGGAGATTTGTTATTGTTATTTTAACATCTCATGTCCGGTGAGAATCAATGTGTCTCTGTGTCTCCCTCATAAAGCTGCCTCATCATTCTTCTCTGTCTCTGTAAATATTGCCTTAACATGGAGGCTGACGGATGTTCTCCCTCACTG